ATACATACATATTACATACATACATACATTCATACATACATACATACATACATACATATTACATACATACTTACATACATACATACATACATACATACATACATACATACATCCATGCATACATACATGCATACATACATACATACATACATACATACATACGTACATCGTCTCCATATATATATATATACATACATACATATACATTATGCACTCATTTGTGGTTTGTGTGTTTCTTGTTCACTTGCTTCCGTATGTGTTCATCTGTTTACGTACTATGGCCAATTCCAACCAGATGGTCCTACACCGAAAAGAAGTCTTCTGTAGTCCATGGCCTTTACAAACTCCTCTGCACCAGCCCCCTTTCTGACTCCTCAACCCTAATATAGAGGGCTCAGTATTGAAATATGGGGTTGAGTCGATTTCAGAATTGGGGGGCATGACAATTACACTATCATAAAAAACACTAAAATTGGTCATTATCCAGGCCTCTACATACCCCGAAACTAAGGATCCTAAATCCCGCCCTCCCCCCGGCCGAGCGAAAGCAGGATCTCTCCGGAGCATCTTTGGCCTCTTGGCTCATGTGGGTGGATGTGCTCTGGGTCTCGCTTCGAGGGTAGAAACACCCAAGCAATGTCCTATAAACCCTCACAACATCCTGAGCCCCACAAGCTAAAGCCTAAACCCTGCATGACCCTCAAGCGTTCGGGGTAACCATGGGGGTGTTGCGTGACGCCTCTAAGTTTCTACTCAGTACTGCTTCCGGCGAGCACTGCCGGCCCCTCACGAGCTCTGACCTCGCTCTCCGAATGGATGAAAATTGAAGGATCCCTCTGGAAAATGCCTGCAGCACTAACACCCAAATCGGCTGACTCAACTACTTGACTGAACGACCGACTTACTTCAGTGTTTCATTGCTGAGGTGTTTACATGTATTTTTTGTTTTCGAGCTTGCCTGCCTGGAACCATGGATTTGATCTTGCTTCCGAATTTAGTTCGTGACAGAGTCAAGTCAAGCAACTCATGCTCATGTTGAAACATAGAGATTTCCATTAGTTGTTTCCGACATTCTGTTGCTTGGCTTGTACATCTAACAACTGCATGCACTAGGTGACGGTAAGTAAAGTAACAGCCTGTGTCATGATATGAAAGTGCCAGCGTACACATGGGCATGTGCCCGTCCATCTGTGTATGGCTCCATCTATGTTGTTTGCACCCATCTGCCACTTGGGTATGCGGTATGCATGTACATTGATGTTGACATTACATGTGTTGCATGCATGCATGCAATGTGCGTTATGCGAACATGCAGCTGCATGAGAGTAGTACAATGGCGATGAGTACCATTCACATTGCTGTCTATGACTGTCTACCGTCGTTTGCGTTGTGAAGGTTTTACCATTACCGTTACCAGTGCCATTGCCAACCCTGCCGAGATCACTATCACCTTTAAGTTTTTTGTTACCCTTATACTGCTACTGATACTTACTACCATTGCTATTCCTACCAACAACTATACCGATCTTATTGTGGCGAGAATAACCAGAATAGCGCTAACATGCAAAAGCTATGACAAGTACTGCTATTCCCCAGCCTCGCGCTTCTGTCGCACCGATCGTGGCGGTGCCGCGCGCTGTGGTGGCAGTGGGGCCTGTGCCTGGAAGACTTGCGAGGCAGCAATATGGCAGATAGAGGTATGCAGCCGGACGTGACTCCTTTTCTGTTCGAGGAAGGGGCAGAGGGGACGGGGTTGAGGGGTAAACCATATCTGGCATTGTAAAGATGAAAATTGCGAACTATGAAGGTCTGCATGTTGTGCAAGGCAGGTCGTCAAAGCATTTCTGAAGACCAAGTCTTGGCCCAACGGCGTGGGACTTGGTTGCATGAGGACTTTGGGCAAAGACAACACAATCACAAAGATACTCGTTGCGGCGACAGTTCGTGCTTTGGGGGTTTCGGGCTTGATCGTGGGTCGAGTATTTATGGCAAGCCGCGTTTAGGATGCGTCTGCCTCTTCTCGCAGACCCCCAGCCTTAAACAAGACTCCCTGAATGCTGAACCCTAACCTCCCATGTACCTACTATGTAGGTACTAGAGCCTTTTAGGGCCCTATATAGTTAGTAGGTACCTGGAGGGTTAGGGGAAATACCAGACTCAAAAGCCGCTCTTTCGGGGGAAAGCCATCCAAAGCTCAGGCCAAGCTACCAGATACTCGGCATGCCCGACAAGAGACTGCGGCAAGAGTGACCCGTCTCCACCGTTCAATGCCAGACACAAGAAAAGATGCCTGCTGAGATGTGAACTAACCTGAAGCCCAAACTCAACCGTAAACCCTCAACCCACAAGATTCTGAGCCATCTCGGGGGACCTCAGCTGCCACGATCTTCTGGGACACGTGCATGAGGTCTTGCGGCGGCAGAGACGTTCGTTTAGAACTTGGGAGGCATCAGAGTCTCGATTTGGGGATGTTCGCATTCAGTGTTCGGGTTTAGGTTTAGTTACGTATTCCGTTGTTCAGGTACACCGCAGTCCGCACCCAGAGCCCCGCAGAACTCTGATCATGTACAATGTACACACGTCCTTAAGCTTTCTACGGTTTAGGATTTAGGTTTATGCCCTGAGTTCTAAAGCCTCCACCAAAAATCTTGAAGAACTGACAACCCTGAGCAAAAATGCCCGGGGACCCCTGAACCCGAAACCCCGAAAGAGCCTTAGACGCCCCTAGATCTTCATGTCCATACTCGTACCCTAACCCTCCAGGTACCTACTATATAAGGCCTTAGGGGCTCTAGTACCCTAAACCCTAAACCCTAAACCCTAAACCAGTAGGTACCTGGGGGGTTAGGGGTAGATCTCCTGTATCGGGCCTCCGTCTGCACTGGGCGTCGAATCGGGGGACTGAGCTGGGGCGACGGCAGCCACCTGAGACTAATAGTAATAATAATAGTAATAATAATAATAGTAATAATAATAGTAATAATAATAGTAATAATAATAATAATAACAATAATAGTAGTCATAATAATAGCATTAATAATAATAAAAGTAATAATAATATAATAGTTGGGCGCAGGTGTCTTCTTCCTGTTTTGAGCTGTCGGGCTCTGCCAGAAGATAGCGATTGGTGATTGCTGGGTCTGGGATGGCTCCAGGTTGGGGCCCGTTGTTCCATAGCGAAGACCAAAGCAAGCATGGGCAAGTACATTTGGCAGGCAGAAGAGCTCACAAGCCCATCAGAGCACGTTTCGAAGCACTGAGCTGAACCTACAAACTCTAGAACCGCAACTTTTGCGCTCAGACGAGATGGAAAGCATCACAAACACGGGACGGCACCGACCCATAGCCAAGCGTGGGAAACCTCGCAATCAAACGTCTGCCAGACATCGTAAACTCACTGAGCAAGGCCAGCGACGGCTGGAAGAGTGAAGTCGCACCAGTTCCACCCAGCGGGCATCGACAGCACTGGACGCGCCATGATTTGGCAGCGTGCTTGTGATATCTATAGGAACCGCTTGGTCAAGTCTTGTAACGCAGCGAGGACTTGCCCGCGCACACACGATTCAATTGAAAGATGGAGCTGCTTAGACTCGGGCTTGGGGGTGGGTGACTCGTGCATGCTTGTCAGTATGTATGCGTGCATGCATGTATATATACGTATGATTGCACATGTGCAAACTCCAGAAAACCAGTGATCTGGTTTTCATGCACATCTAGCAACACAAAAGCCCTATAGCTCGGCCTACATCAACGAATCCCCAGCAACTTTGGCTGGTCCGAGCCGAGAAAGTCGCTGTAGCTCCACGAAATGATTCAGGGCTTCCTCCCTGTAGGGCTTAAGGTTTCTATAAGGGCTATGCTCAGGGTGGCTACCTGCTACAAGGGTCACTAATTCCGTTGGAGTTTATGAAGTGTGTATCCGGCTATTTCATTGAGCCCAGAGTCGAAAATTACCATACAGGCCCTTATCTGCGCTTCAAGGTTTACACATCCCGTGGCCAGACAAATGCGCCCTACTGTATCCCTCAGCCGTTCAGACGAGTATTTACACCTCCAACAATCACACCGAACACGACCACTACGACTACGAGTACGACGACGACGACCACGCCGCTGCCACTACCACAGCTACAACCACCACCTCGAGCCGTTCAACCCGAAGGCATGGATCACAGCACAGTCCAACGAGATCCATGGATCTTTAGGTCTCGTACTGGGGAGGCACTTCGCAACGAAGCGGCGAACACCAAATTCCGGTAATCCTATGACTTTAAACCCCGAACCCACAAACCCAACCTCCTAGACTCCTAGATGGTACCGCCGGCAGTAACCGTCCAGCAGCAAGCGAGGCTGCCGAGGCACAAAGACTCGTCAAATCCCAGCTGAAAATCCTGCCGTCGAGGCATCCGGTACATGCGATACATTGAGAACCTTTGTCCACGGCTTGAAGTCTCGCGCCCTAATAGTCTGAGGCCGGAATCCGAAATTCGTACGCCGAGGACATGTCAACTGTTAAGCACCGACTTAAACGGACAAACAACGAGACACCACCTGACCATCAAGGAAGCTTCTAAAAGCAACGGGCCCTGACTGCAGACCCCAGTTTGCGTGAAGTATGAGATCCATTGTAGCAGGCAACAGCACAAGCTACGGATGGAGGGCCCCGACCTATATCCTCTGAACTAGAACCCAAGTCCATGGCCAACGGACAAAAGCCACTGCAGATCCGTAGGATTGGAGGTGATAGCACGTCGCCCAATGCACGTCCTGGTAAGTAGATCGCCATGGCTTTGGCGCCTTCGCCGAGTGCCCCCTCTCGTCCTGCGTTGGGACAAGAACAGTCTTGCGGCAAGAGCTCACAACCACATACAACTCAAGGTAGTCAAATCATCTTATATGTCCAGCTGACGTGAGAGTAGAGTGAGAATACAAACTATGGTTCACTGCGAGAGTTGCAGCTTCGAGCATCATTGCAAGAAAAGTCATCTCAAACCAAGCAATTCCACATTGACGCCGTAGCCAGCCTCTGTGAGAACGCGTTCAGAGAAGAATGGGTACTTCGCACCCAGCCTCTGGCTCACAGTCGACATGATGGGAAGACATGGTGTAAAAAAGGAATATATAGAAAGCATTGGAACTTGGGCTTTGAGGATGGTTAGGCTTGGGACGCGTGCATGGCACTTTAGGGTGGTGCTGGTAGTAGTAGCTGTAGCAGTAGTAGTACTACCACTACTACCACTACTACTACTACTACTACTACTACTACTACTACTAGCCACCCCCCCCCCCTACCAACTACACTTGCTCCATCCGGGCTGGGCAGTGGCAGCTTCCAGGCTCCCGAACTGCGACAGGTGCAGAAGATGCAGGGGCTCAGGCTCCCTATCTGTGACACCTGCAGAAGTTG